GCGGTTGAGCATCGCCCGCGCGCCCGTGGACCCGGCACCCAGAGCCCGGGAGGCTTTCTTCCCCAAACTGCCCCCGGAACAGGCCCCGCCTCTCGGTCTCCCCAAGGCTGTGGGTCCCGCTCACTCCCCGCGGTGGCGCCAACGGCAGGTAGCCAGGTAGCCGGCGCCCAGGCCGGCAGGTTCCCTCTCCAGGTGGGACCAGTGCGTGGCCGCCGGGCTGGGCGAGGGAGTCACTGTGACCGGAGTTGGGGCTCAGGACAGGCACTGCGGGACCGGGGACCAGGCCTTGGAACGCCGCAGCGCGTTAGCGGGAGCCTCACACCCGGAAGAAGCAAGTCTGGTTGGAAGGTCAACCCAGGACCAGTGCGCGCCCAGAGGCTCCCCGAGGCCCGGGAAGGGCGGCTGCGGATGTCCTCTTCGCTCAGTAGCTAATGCAGAAGCTTTCTTTCCCACCGGATTCTCCCTACTTCACCTGGCTTAAGTAGGAAGGAACAAGTGTCAGGAGGAGGGTAGGAAATGAGGTTGGCAAGGCTGGAAATCCCAGAAGGCGCCCAGGGCTGAGCCCTCATGGTGAGCACTTGTCCAGTTCAGGTGCTCAGCCTGACCGGCCATCAGCCGGCTGTCCCCACTCGCGGTGCTGAGGTCCCCCAAGCCGGGAGCCTAGGAGAAAGGGCTAGGACCCCTGAAACTCAAGGAGGAAGGTACAATATCTGACAGGGGCATTTGTGGAGAATTTTTAGACCACATACTTTAATACAGAAGATTCCCAGTAAGAATTACACGCAAACCAGCAAACTCTCTGTTTACTGGTTTAGTTAAACTTAGTAAATGCTAATAAAGATTCTTCAGACTGTAAACCAGTACTGGTCAACCAAGACTGATTTATGGAGTCAGACCTCGAAGAGAGAGTAAGGGGAGTGGGGAGTAGTAAAGAGGAAGGAGGCAAAGGAGACAGATAGACCCCTGCCCATCTCCCACCATACACACACACACACACACACACACACACACACTGGCTCACATTTCCTACTCCAGCTTGGTCTCTTTCCCTCTCTCTCTCATTCCTGAGTGGCCCCTGTGTAGAGCTGAGGGAGAGAAAATGGCTGGCCGAGGACTTCCCTGCACCCCAAACCTAAAGGTCTTTGCTGCTGTGTGTGCCCTTTGCCCTGGCCTGGACTCCTGGTTCCTCTCCTGCCAGACTTCCACTCAAGGTCATACAGACTCCAGAGCATTTGCTTCCTCTTTTATTTGGTGCTTTGGTAGCTGCTTACTAGCCTTTTTTGGAAGTAGATTTGGGATAATTTAAAAAAAAAAAAAAAGTCCCCATTTCTGGGCACAGCCCAGTCACACCTCAAGGCAACCTACTCTCGGCATAAGACTTAGTTGTCCCTCTCCCACTCCCATGCCATCCCTGGCCTGAGCTCCAGGCTCACAGCTCCAGAAAAATCTCAAAAATCCCCGGTGTCCCAAACACCCCTTCTCCTTCCCAGCTATGGGGATGCAGGCGAGTGTCTGTCATCATGCAGTGCTCTGTTTCTGACCTTGCCCCTTGTGGGTAACATCTACTCGGTGGGATCTCCTTCTCTCCATCCCAAGGTCCTCCAGGGGACTTCAGCCAGGTGAGGGTTGACTTCCTTGGCTAATGCATACCTCTCCAGAAACAGGCTTCTCCAAGGACTGACCCTGTAGGTGTGTCCCTTCTCCCCTCAGCTCTGGTGAGGTTCCCACAGGGGCAGTTTCCCCAGAGGCACCCTAGGTGGAAGAGGCAGTTGGGTCACTTGGAGCTGGTGTTTCTGGTTTAGCTGGCTTTGTTTTCATCAGATTTCCCCCTTCTCTTCATCAGAACCACCCAAGCATTCCCTATTTGCTCAGTGGCCATTCCTACTAAATTTGCTCTCTCTTTTTGTGTTGGTTTATACCCCATACACCTGCTCTGGTTGCTGGGAGGAGCGAGCTGGCAGTTGTGGAAGGACCATACCCTGGGTCATTGCCTTAACCGCCCCCCCCCCGGACACCCTGGAATCCTCCTTCAAGAGGGAAGAGTCGAATTCTCTAGGGTGTTTGGTTCTCTTGGGGCCCCTGAATCCCACCAGGGCTCCCCGGGTTAAGAACACCCGCCCCAGAGAAGGCCAGCCACACCTCACGGGTTGCCTGGCAGGCAGCCACCACTCCTCATACCCCGTGAAGGACAGTCAGGAATCGGCCATGGGTGATCCCAGCAATAGAATCGGCTTTTCTCCAGAGTCTGCCCCCAAGAAGGTTCTCCTCTGTCTTGTCGGTGAGGGGGCATTGAGCCACCAAGGGCTCGGAGGGGAGCCCTGTGGAAGGAGCCTGACACTCCATACCTATTTCCACCCATGCCTTCCCCCAAACACAGCAGATGAGATAGATGCTTCGCCCTGGTCAGGATGTCCCCAGGGAGGGAGGAGGGGGCTCTGGGGTCTGGAGACCCTGCAGAAGGAGGCTGCTCTGAACCTGCCTGCCCATCTGGGTCTTTTTCTGAACTGGCCATTAAGTATTGCTCTCCTGTGCTTCCAGAGTGTCCTTGTGTGTGTGTGGCAGGGTGTCTTCTCAGACTGTGTGGGAAGCAGGAGGAAACCCAGGGGATGGGGCTGCTCAGCCAAAGATCTTTGCTAGGGAGACTTGAGCTGCCTGAGGCGGGAAGGTCCCTGTAGGTGCTCATCATGAGCTGCCCTGTTGGGGGGTCAAGGGCTAGTGCATCAGTTAGGCAGCCCAAAGGGAATGCTTTTCCACATTCAGGTTCTTTAGAACTTCATTTGGAACCTCTTCCTAAAGCTTAACTCGAATCCCATTTGGTCCAACTTCAGCAATCAATATCACCATGAATATACATCCCACACAAAGTCTACTGACACCAACTTTCTTTTTCGTATCACTTCTCGTTCCAGAGAAATCCCAGCACTAACAGTGTCATTGTCCTTGTTTGTCTCACTACCTGCTTAGACATCTGTGATTTTTTTTAGTTTCAACCTTCTCCTTTCTTTTCAGAACTACCATTTCCTATCTAACATGGCCAAACCTGGATTTCTCCCTGGTCGGAGATAGGTTTGGGGCCACGCTGGGCTAGGGAAGGTGCCTGTTCCCCACTTCGTCATCCTGCATCTATCCCTCGCAGGGCAGTTACTACTTGAGGCCGTCCTAGGGGGCAGCCTTGTATTGGCTTGGTGGCCATGGCATGCACAGGTGAAGGTCCCTGCCTCGGGACCCCGCCTTTGTTGGCATTTCTGTATTTGCATTTGGCCGTGTCTCAGCATGAACCTCGGCCCGTGTGAGGTTCTGCTCATTCTAGTCTCTTGAAAGTTGTCCGTTCCTGACCACAGTCCACGAACAGACATCACTCCTGGCATTGTTTTCTCGGGACCAAAGCTGGCATGGGAGAAGGTAAAGGATGTCTGAGCTTTAACTTTTTCCAGCAGCAAAACATCCTAATTAAACTTCAAATGAACCAATTCCTGTTTCTTTACAATGTATCTTGGCTTGAAGCTGAGGTTTTACCAGAATTTCCGTTTGCCTGTTACAACACATACAAAAATGCCAAGTATTCCAGAATGTTTCACAGCAAATGCTGTTTCCTTGGACCCTGCTTCTTTGCTAAGTTCATTGGCAGAGGTTTAAAAAAGAAAAAAGAAAAAGAAACAAATTTTTCTCCCCACACACCAAATTATAAATATCAATAAGCCAATCGTTCCAGGTCTAAAAATCTGGAAACTACTTCTGCCATGGGGTATGACCCCTAGAAGATGTGTGATATTTGGACAAAATAAGATGGAAGAATGTTAGATATCCTCATGTGAAGTTCTTTGCAGGCGTGCACTGCGCATGGGCGCACACACATACACACATGTGTACCCACACCCATGCACATACACGCCTGTAGGCATGCTTGCACACACACACCCAACCTTGCAGTTTGCACTGGTGCAGGAGTCCAGCCTGGTGTCAGGAGACCTGGGTTCTACCTGGATTGATTCCTGGCTGGTGTGTGATCTTGGGTAAGTCACTGCTTCTCTCTGGGCCTCTGCAACTGTACGAGATCAGATTAGATCATCTCCAAAGTGTGCTGTGATGGTAACCATCTCTGGAAATAGATCACATCACTCCCTACCTCTGCAGACCATTCCCCAAACTGTCTGTAGCTGTCCTACAAAAAGACTCCTCCCCTCAGTGAGTGTCCATCAAGGTTTCCCTCTTGTAAACATCCTAACATACCAAAAGCCATCCACTCTGCTGCTCTCAAACCTGGCTGCACATTGAAATCATCTGGGAATTTTAAAAAATGCGAATGCCTGCGTCCCACCCCCAGAGATTCTGATTTAGTGAGTTATGGGGGACAGTGCAGGCATCAGGACCCTTAAAATCTCCTAGGCAGTTCTGATGTGCAACTAAGTTAAGGAATCATTGCTCTGGTCCCCATCTTTCACTCACACTTAGACCCGGCATGAGGATCACCCTCATGAGATGCACACACATGTTCACACACACACAAACATACACACACATGCACGAAGATGGATAGACATCTAATACGGTAATTGCTGATGACAATGTTTTAGTCTGGATCCCCAGCCAGGTGGCTGCGTCCTGTTCTGACCTTTGTCCGCACGAATCCACCACCCTGCCCCCGTGCCGGCCCTGTTCCCACAAGACGCTCCCACCCGCTATCCAGTCCTTGAGTTTAGCGGTGGCCAGGAACAGACGATCAGGAAGAGAAGC